TGCTGAAGCACTGTTCAGAGACACTGTAGTAAACTAAAGCACTCACTGAAAGCAAAAGGAAGGCATCATCAATAAAATAAATGCAGGTTAACTATCTAACTTCAATAGCATTATTATAAATGTACCATAATTAAATGCTATGAAGTCCACATTAGAGATGGCTTTGGCAGTGAGAAAGAATAGTTTTAAATTTTATGCGGAACAAATTATGCTCTGTGCTGTTCATATTTTGAAAGTATTTTACACGGTCAGAATTTAAAACACAAGAAACGTTATGTGCTGTGCCTTTCAGAGGCACAAAACACCTCAGCCTGGGAAAAAGGAACAGCAAGCAACATAGTACTTAACATCATATTCATCAATATTGTATCATCATAGTGCTGGGCAGTACAAATACTAACTCACTTGCATTTCTAATGAGTTAAATAGAACAGATAACATAGTAGCTATGCCAGTCATGGCAAACAAAACATATATGATCCAGCACGGAGCTTACTAGCTCTAACATCTGACCTAGCATATTAGAGAAAATTATTAAAAAGTATACAAGGACATCAGCAAAATTTTACTCCTGTTCAGAGCTTTTGCATAAAAAAAACCCCACTGTGTGGCATCACTACATGAACTGTTAAGATTTTATCACCCACCTATTACCTACCTGTTAGATTTTATTACCTACCTAATTTGCTCCATCTTTGCATTTAAGACACAAATCACTTCTGCCAGTAGGACACATCACCACTCTAGTTTTCTTTAAAGAAAACTTTCTTTTTGCATTTTTGTATCAAAGCACAACAATCTTCTGTCCTTCTTAAGCTACAGTTTTCACATTGTTTCACATTCTTCTCTAAGCTTCACTCCAGAGCATTCATACCACTCAAGCCTCACCCTTGAAGGGCTGCCCCATCTCTTACAAACCAGGCTGTATTTTACAAAAAAATTCCTTCAGAACTAAATATAACCTTTTTGGAAAGTTTGCAAGAGACTATCCAAGACATTTGCAAAAAAAACAAAACCAAAAAAACCCAACACCACCAAAAAACAAACAAAAAACCCCCAAACAAAAAAACCCACCACCAAACAAACAAAGAAACCCAAAAGAATATTCAAATCATTTGCATATCACAACACTACCTTCTATATTACAGACTTGACAGCTCATGGAATTTATCTTCTGTTAATTTTGTCTCAATTATTTATAGATATACTACTGTTGGAAAATAAACATTAGTACTGTAACTACACAGCATGGCATAGTGTTTCTTTTGATAAAGATGTCTCAAAAAAAAAATCAGAATAAGCCATCATCACCTTGACTGAAACACCTTTTTTTTCTAAAATCAAGGATATACTAAGAAGGAATGGATCTGGTTAAGGATAACTAGGCTGGTGGCGTGAAGGCACAGTTTTGATAAACTTCTTCTTCCACCTAGTGGCAAGAAGCATAAAACACAAGCTCTTTGGGAGCGCAGTCGTAAGACGTTTTCAAACACCAACTCTATAAAGATTCACTAACATTATAAGGGGGACTGAGTCACATAGAAATTCTGGTTTTAATTTCAAGTTCACAACTAATAAACATACTATCGCAAGGAGCTTAGAAATGCACTTACGAGAGAGAATTGTTGAAACAAATCTAAATTCTCTTTACAGGTATATTTTTCTTTCATGAAGCTCAGTATTTTTGTTTTCCAGGTTATTCAGTCTGATCATCTTGTCAGAGATTACAACTATCCAAATCTGCATTGTGCCTCAATTGCTTAAGTATTTACTGAGAAGATTTGAAAAAAAAAAAAAAATTAAAAAGTTACAGCAAAACCACTCAGCATTTCATTAAACTTAGTAAATCAAATACCACAATAGTAACACACATAATTTTAACAGATCATTCTATTGCCCTATAGACAGGGGGGTGGTTGTAGCAGAATATAAGAACTAGTTAAAAATTTCTGCTTAATTATCTGACCACAGTGGAAAAAAATCACACCTATTAGAATTAAGCAGTATGTAAGCAATAGGAATATATCCCTTTTCTCAACTGCAATTTTAAGTAAGAGCAGTGTTTTCAAGCTCATATTCTGCAACTCATTTAGGATCAACATCCTCACAACAGAACCTACTGAATCAGAAAATGGATTAAACCAGAAGTGTATTTCCAGAGGCAATGACAAGTTGGTACCATGTCCTTGTGTTTTCAACTAACCCTGGCATTAAACTTGGGGAAACTCCATCCCTTATCAAAATCAAATTAATAAAAAAATAAATCAAATACTGTGCGCTCGCCAGTGGATATTCACTGATTTCCAAAATAATAAAATTCCTGCCTCTTAGACTCAGCATGTCACATGATATAATTGGCACAAGGCCAAGTATCATCCACAGGAAACATTTATGAGACAGGCTCATTTTTCTTTTTTTTTTCTTTTTTTTTTTTTTAAGAGAGCAATGGATAAGAAGTGCTCACAGGGTTGAAGTGTATAAATCCATTCCAAAGTGAAATGGATTTGTGGATAGAGTGCTTGCATGATCTATGCTTTCTATCATGCAGCTCTGCATTTTATTAAATTGATATCCTACATAAAGTATAACCAGTGTGACAATTTAGAGAATTTATCTGTATTATTTTTGATACAAGTTTGACATGCAAAAACAGCACAATGCTGAATGCCTCTATATATGGATGTACACATACACTGAGCTAGACTGGACTGAATCACATTCTTTCTAAACCAGGATTAACAACTAATGAATATGTACTTAAATGGAACTCATGCAGAACAGGGTTTGTTTTGCCTTTTCCTCGTGTTTGCATGTCATCAAAAAAGAAAGGCAATTCAGGGAAGACAGGCTACAACTGGACTCCACAGCGTAGAACAAGGCCTGGTTAAAAAGCAGATCATAGCAAGAACGCTATGAACTAGTTAGTTATCTCAATGAACATGGATACCCAGCCCTGCAAAGTCCTGGGAGCTTTAAGTGACGCTGGCAAGCATTGTATTGCCCGCTGATGAGCCATGAATTCAGTACTATGTGCCAAGACACTGTGCTTCCACCTAACATATGCCTTACATGGAGACTCCCTCCCTCCCTAAATCCTTGGTTTTAACCAAGGGATTAATTTAACTTGAAACCTTTAGAAACAAGTCAGTGCACAGGTTGTAACTCTGCACTACATGAACCCATACGGAAACCTTCTGATGAAAGCCAGCACTTACAGTTCCAACAGACTCTTAAAGCTTAGAAACATACAAGTGAACCACCTGACAGCAGTGTGGAGTAGCATGTGCCTTGAATAAATCCGTATGATAATTCCCATTTTCAGAAGCATCTAGCATTACATTTTGTACTGCAGAAACAATTATTTTACTTTAAATTACTTATTTAGGGGAACTAATCTATTTCCCTCAAAGTTTATAATTTGCATCCAAAATCAAATCTGAAGTAGTCAGTTTGAAGTGGAAATGAATACGAGATGAAGCCTCTGAATAATTTGATTTACTGTCCTTTACATACAAACCATCATTCATCACGTGAAAACCACCTTTGTGAGGAAAACAGTAAGCTCATTTTGAACCTTTGCATGCACTTTTTTGACAAGGTGTTTAAAATTAAGTCTAAAAGCTTAGTGAAATGTTTTTTGCTTTTGACTGAAATTTCAAAAGCAGCTTTGAGATGTCAGTATCCAGAAGACACTTTTAATCAACGTTTATTGGATTATTCAATATTTCATACTGATGCCATTGTTTAGAATACTTACTGTACATGGATTGAAGGTAAAAAAGCCAAATAACTGAATGTACAATACTTATGATTTTCAACAGATGGCACTTTATAGCAAGGAATCTATAGTGTCTAATTAAAAGATAGCAAAAACAATTGGATGGCTGAGTGCATTGACATGCCAAAGTCTGCATCTGGAAAAGCCTTATATCCTTAAACTTGAAAGTACAGTTCTATAAAACTGGAAGTACAAAGAGGGAATCTAAATCCAAACAAAAACTCTGAAGTAACATTGTATCTCAGATATTAATCACACCAAGATGTTCTTCACAAAGGCAGGATATTCCCATTTTCTTTTCTTCTCAGGCAGAATTTACAGGTAGACTCAAGTTTAAAGATAGCAAAGAAACATCGCCATCAGACTATGGTTATTACTGTATACAAGCTCAGAGGAGAACAGAGAATCCTTTTAGTAATATGAGTTAGAGTGCAGTCTCGTGCAAAACTTTAAGGCATTTTGATGTCTAGAAGCTACACACACAATTTTTAGAACCATTTATGAGCTAAATAAAGAAGAAAGGCCTGGGAGCATTGCTGCCTCCGAGTTACAACCCAAGTTACACTTTTAAGTTGTCTGTCAGTATTATCTGAGTGGAAGGTGCTTACTAATGAAAGTCACAAAAGTCAAACTGAGAATGACAACATTTTAAAAAAATCCACGGGGAGGTAACAGTTATCTTCAGTTACCTAACCTGTAGTTATAGAGAAAAAGTGACTCTTCCTGGAGACGCACAAAGGACAAAAGGCAATGGATACAAGTTGCATCATGAGAAATGGCAATTAGATAAGTTTTCATAACAGAATTAGTTGAGTATTGAAACAGGCTACCCCGAGCATTTGAAGCTTCACCTTTGGAGTTATTCAAAACTTGACAAGGCCCTGAGCAAACTCACCTAGCTTCAACAATAGCCCTGCTTTGAGCAGGATGTTAGACTACAAGAATACCAGCCCCTTCCAGGAACTTGTAGGATTCTAAATTGCTCAGTAGAAAATACTACATGAAAGGATGAGACCCAACACCACATCCTCAGGGCTTACTTTCTGAAAGAGACGCCCTCAATTATGACTGAGCCATCTTCTCTCAGACGCCTAGAACAATCCTTCTCACAAAACTAGAGAACATGACCACCTTTTACCCTGTGATAATGACATTTCAACAGGATGCAGGAAGTCCTCTTTCCAGTAAAGGACCGAGGACCATTTCTTGGACTGAATCCTCATTCTGAACTAAACTTAAGAAGCTTGATTTTAAAGTCACCTAACTTTTCAGATGCAGGATCTGGTCAGTGGGTAAACTTCCCATTTTCTAAGTAAATTTACATAGGATCAAGTCAGCAGCCACAATCAAGCAGCACTTACTATGCTAGACAGAGAAGGAACATCTCATTTGTAAATCCTGTGAGAATTTACAGATTAGACGTTACCATCTAACAGTATTCAGTACTGTTAAAAATATTCATGCCCATATGTAGAAGATGTAGGCACATACAATTAGAGTATTTCCAACGTTAGGTGGCATGCAAACAGAATTCTCACACGTCTTGAGATGAATCCTTAAAGTGATGTGGCAAGGTCTTGAAACAAACAAGCTTTTGTAGGCACACAACTACATCAAAAGGTTTTACTAAACTTTATTGCTCCCAGAAATTTTCCCTGGAATATATAAAACCTTCTGTAAATCTACCCTCTGTACCTAAATACCACTAGAAATTCCACACTGAATTTGAAGCAGAGAGGTCTGCTAACAAAGTAATACAGATTAAGTTCCCTCTTCAGTACTGTGCAAGGGAAAACTTCAGGTATAGGAAGGTATAGGAAAGGGTAGTGTTATACCTCCACAGCATCTTGGAATGCAAGTACACATGGGCCACAAAACATCATGATAGCTATATTCTTTTCTGTTCCTGAAGGAGGCATTCTTTCTCCTAATTGCAATAAAAAAGAAAAATAGGCACATAAGAATGTCATTCAACAGCCAAGAAACAAACTAGCAGCAGTGAAAATACAGAAGAAATGCAGCAACTATAGGGAACAGAGATTCCAAGCCAGACATTGGCCTCATCAGGCTTAGAGCTCTCATGAAAACATAGCTGTAATTTTAGCACATTTTTACCCTTCACTGGTAGGAGTAGATTCGTCTCTTGCACAGGTAAAAAACTCCCCACCAAGATGAATTGAAACACAAGCTGTTGCATACTCCATATGTTTAGAACCAACTGGCCCGGATACTTTACAGTTGATTTTAAGATTGATCAATGATTTTGGTGTCAAGGAAAGCCTTAGCAATCTGATATTTACAAACTCTGCTTAGAATGAAGAAGTTGTTTCCATACAGTTTCATCCAACCTTAATGCTATAAAAACGTATGCCTCAGTTAGTGAGAGACTTCCATATATCTGATTTAGGCTGCTTCCAACCCTCTTGCATCAGTCCTTTCAGGTTCAGATCTTTGAAAAATTCCAGGCGATGACTGCAAAGAGAGGAGAAACAAACAAAGAAGTTGTAAGTCTTGTAGTATGTGTCTTAATAAAAGACAGTTTCCTCAACAGGTTTAATTAATCTTTATTTTCAGGTTTTCTTGGACAGGAATGTAATCAGCATTCCATGTGCTCATTTTCCAAAACTTGAGTTTATAAATAAAAAACGCTACTGTATTTCTGAAAATCTGGTACTGGAAAACAAAGGGCAGCTATATATAACACACAACAAAGGGAAGTTAACAAAGTGCTCACCTTTTAAACTGCCTGGAACCACAGTCAGAGCAAGAGCAGCGATATCCTGCTTTATGACTTATCTGCACTCCAATAGATTAAAAATTTACATCTCTTGACCAATTGAAAAATCGTATCAGAGGGATGTCCTTGCCTTACAGAAAAGGGGAAGACTGGATAGGATAGTGAAGCTAGTAAAGACATTTTTTTCTGTGAGACCAGAAGTGTAGTTTTCTTTTAAATGTTATGAATCAGTTCTTGCTAAGAATTTCTCCTTTAGGTTACCACACAGAAACAATAGAAGGAAGTCAGTGAAGCCAATCGCTAATTAATATTTACATTAAACAACTGCCAAACAGAAGACAGAACATCTGACACTACACTAATCATTTAAAAAGGTAAACGGAATTCTCTTATTAGGAAGTAATTTGTAAGAGTACAGACAAACTAAGAGCAATGAAAGTAGCAAGGAGCAATCTCTTCACATAATTGCATCTGCTACCCATGTCTGAAAAAGTCAAGGGGTTTTTTGGAAGGGGTACTATAGAAAGAATAGAAAGAATCCCTTCCTGAAAAATATTACAGGCATTCTCCAGTTTACCACAGAAAAAGAAAAGTATCTATTTCTTATGGAACACTGATAAAGGGAATGTATTTTATTAGCAATAGCTTAGAATTTATTCAAATAAACAATTGCAGAAGCTAAGTTTTTCTTAAATAAAGGCAAAAAAGGGTAACTTATCTAAAATTTACCTTATCTGGTCGTCACTGTATGTTGAGTAACAAGTTTGCGTAAGAACTATAGTGTACCCTCTAGAGCTAGTTCATTTCTACAAAATTCCCAGACGTAGCAGTTTTTAATCAAATATCTCAGCCTCACAGTCAAAGAAAATAAACAGGCCCAAAGCACAATTTAAAAATCAAGATATTCTAGTTTTTTTATTGATATTGGGTATCCCTTTATTATACTTTTTAGTTTAGTCTGCCTTTTCAAATTTTTCCATAATATGGAGCCATCTGTAGCGGTGAGGTTGTTTGGAACAGTAGGAGAGAAACAAAAGAGATTTACTGGAAACGTATCTGGTGAAATTAACACTAAATGGCATTTCAGGAGGTGCTGGAGGCAAGGAAAAAGTAGAACAACCTATCTATGATTTAGCTGAGGAAGGTGATAAAACAGATGCCCATGGTGTTGAAGGCATCATTTTCTATGCACCTGGGGGATAACAGAGAAATCAAGCACTAATTACAGCTATCTGCCACAGTGCTTTATACAAAGTGCAGTGCCAGTGGATCTGGGGCTAAGCAGTATAATTAAAATACTAGTGGCACTCAATCTGAAAACCAGATTAGCTTTTTTAAGTATCCCAAGAACAGTGCAACTATATTACAGAGCTAATTTCATGCTTACAAATCTGGTTTCTGTCCTTCCTGTAGTTCATGTCGAGGCACGGGATGAAGCGCTTCGTATTTTCTCTCTTCTCCTGAGCCATGAATTGCAAATGCATTGAACTTGTTAGTGCATGGTGGAAAATAATTCCAAGGAAGATGAGCTTTACCTTCCCATTTGGTTTTCATTCTGGTCACCTCAAACTCTAAAGGAAGTTCTTCCTGTTAAAGGAGGGGAAAAAGAAAAAAAAAAAAAAAAAAAAAAAAAAAGAGGTAACATGACTTTCCAATGAGGCAACAAGTACCTAAAACCAATTAGTTGTTCTGAACATTATGAATGTACTTGACCACTTACTTTCCATACTCTTCTTTTGCTAGAAAGCAGCAGCAACAAGTGTTGTCCATGGCTGTCAAAAAAATCAGAGCACAATTTTCTTAAAATGATGCCAAGTTATTAGTGTACTGTTCTGCCACAAATGTCTACTTTCCCCATATTGGAACAATTTCTGTACCCAGTATTCCTCATATATATCTTACAAGCATTAGAACTGGAAATGCAAATTAACATTTGTGACTTTTTTGGACTCCTGTACTTACGGACAAAGTTCAACTTCTAAATACTGTTCAGTTCTGTCACTCAGAAAAAATGCTTCTACAACTAAAAAAAAAAACCAGAGAAACAGGCTGTCAGTATTTTGTATGAACTATTTTGTAATATCCTGACACTTTCATATCCCACTAAAACAATTCTGTTTTCACAGTTTGGCCTGTGCCATGCCAGACTTTGTCTAGCCGTGTACATGCTACTGTCAGCTTCCTAACTATTTGAAATGCTGTGCCGTAACTGTAACTCTTATTTTTAATGCCTATCATCACAAAAAGCTTTATAAAGCACTGTACTAATTTAATTTACTTTACCAACTCCAGCTTTGGAAACACCCATCTTGATGCAGCAGAAAAATAGCAGGTCTACTAACCAACTTTAGCTGCCAGCGCAGTAAGAAAAGCATCAGCACACAGCTATTTCACCTAGTATGCTTGCTGTGAACAAATCTGACCAAGATAGAGTGATCCTAGTCAATCATACTTACAGCACACACTCCAGGTAGAGCACTTAAGTCTTGTGTTTGCTGGTAGCCTGGGGATTCAGGGCATCAGAGACAAAAAAAAAAAAAAAAAAAAAAAAAAGAGAAAACCAGAACATACACTCACAGCAGAGCACACACCCCCTAACTAAGACTGCTAAATCTCAGAAATAGTAGGAAAGCATTTAGCTCTTAAATGGCTTTTCCTTGTAGATGGCTGATACTTTGGACAGGGGATTACTGTTCCAGGTGTACCTGAAAGCCAGGTATGACTGCTGAATCACCTTTCAGGAACACAAAGCAGAACAATAATGGTGTTTCTCATAGCCATGACATAATTAGGAAGCTTTAGTTAGAATTATAAATTAGATATGATTATTTTGTTTTTACATAAGCCTTTGTAGTACAATATCATCAAAGAGGTGCTAATACTGTTCTCGTAGAGCTTTAATCAGAATAGCTCAATAATCAGGAAGTAGAGAACTGCTGGAAACATTAAATTCTTGCATTATTCAAAGCAACAGGTAAAAGTAAAAATATTGATAGGAAAAGAGAAAGAAAACAGCATTACTTTAAGAATGTTCCCCATTCCATTTGGGTACAGTTTTGAACTACATTTTAAAAGCTGCCCTTTGTTTCACGCCTTCCTATTCCTCAAATATACTTTGGAAAAGTGATTAAAATAGACAAATGGTTTAACTGTTGCTCTCTACTTCTAAAAGCAAAATATTTTGATTCTATTTACCTACTGCTAATGTGTTTTTATATAAATATATGCGCCACAAAATTATTTTTATATTCAAATTTGTCAAGTCTCTATTATTCCACAAATTATATCAGTAATCCAGAAACTAAGTTTGAGCGCCTATATTATTGACAGGATCAGGAAGAGTCAGCCTCATCATTCTTGAAATCAATCCAGCTTATTGTACTCCATTTCTCTATGGCCATTGAGCGACATGACATATTTGCTTCTTTTCCCAGTTATTTGTATTGTTGCACTACAATGAAACAGCCACTCACCTTACAGACAGCAGTGTTAGTGATGAAAATCAATTCACCACCGAGAAAAAGAGCATCACTCTTGGTGCAGTTTGGGGTGGTTTACAGCTGAATATAGTATATGGTTTACAGTTATTTAAGGGGCCGTTTAAGAGTAAGGCAGTGATTACAACTAAATTCTTTCCCAGTATTCTTCCCCACAGAAAGGAAGTTTTTTTGCCTTACATTTCAGATTTGATCTTTAAAAGCAGTACTGTGACCAAAGAAGCCAAATTGAATTAGGTGCCATACACTCACATCTGTTACATCAGTTTGAATAAATAACCATCATAGACTCTTAAATAAAGACCAGGCACATCAGCTACAGAGGAACTTCAGCATCTACACAAATCAGATATATATTTTCAGCTGAACAGTTACACTTACCCTCATAGTCCCACAGTCTACTAAAAGGTTTCCCTGGCTCTCCAAGCGGTGCTGGTGGATCATTAAAAAAGGGAGCATTAACTTCCATTAGCAGTTCTGCATTGTCCGGCTTCAGCACAATTCTTACTGGTTCATGGCTTACAGGCAAACCATCCCACGTGTGTTTAATTGCAAATTCCATCTTCATGTACTACATAAATGAGAAGGGAAGTTTCTGTCAAAGAAGATCTCAGATTCAATTTCAGCACCAACTACACTGTTTGCTCAGCCAGGAAAAACACACACTTTCGTACCAAGTCAATCATCGAATCATGTTTTTAGATGTCAGAAGAGCTGGGATAGTTTAGCTTTATAAAGCAACTAAATAAACAGTTACATGAATGCTTTTAATAGGTTTTTATACTTACACGGTTACAAATCACTCTGAAGTCTTACCAAGCTTGACGCATTTCAACTATGTACCTAAATAAGTACCTTCCAAAGCCATCAGAAATATTTATCAAGAGAACAGATAAACAAAACAAAGTCTCCACTACATGAATTGTCTTTCAGTAATATGAGAAAAATAGATTGACAAAAAACTTCCATGAATCTGAGATGCAAGAAGATGGAACAGTTAGCTCATACTTTCCTTCGTGGTCATTGCAAACCAGCCAAACTACCGGATTTCAAGGAAAACTGCAAGCACGTCTTGTTTAACACACTGAATGTTTGCAGAGCAACAAGAATGGAGAACACTGCACTCCAACAGCTGTTGTTACTCAGAAATAACTGTACAAACCTTAAGAATAGCCTTAATCTATTTAATAAGCAAAAGAATCAGTGGAGCCCAGTTTCCAACAAGTTTATGGCCCTTTATCCCTCCCTTTCTCAGTATTATGAGTTCCTTCCCATCTCTACAAGAGTGATCCTTGGTTTGTTCCCTGACACACGTCCTAGCCATACAAGAAGGGAACTGGCAGTATGTAGCCTGACTGAGAATTATGCACATGCTGTTAAGCCCTGTGACCAGAGAGGTGCTCGCTCAGTAGCTAAGTTGTAATTGCGTTTCCTTCAGTGGGGAACACGAAATTGTGTTATTTCATCTCTACCCAGATACCCATTTTCTTGGCACTTGCAGAAAGGTAAGTGTAACTTACCACGTTCTGCAGGTGTAGTACACGAGACAGAACGTAACCACATGCATCACACTTCCCTATGTGCTGTAGCCTTGCTCTTATGACTACACATTAACTGTGTCTCACACCCTCTGCTACAGTCACACTTGCCAGTTTCCATTCACTGGTGTTTATGCTGAAAAGCACCAGACCTCCTCGCTCTGAGTTCAAGGTCAGTAAAATAGGTAGAGGGACCTCAGGTAAGTAGATATACTCAAGACCAAGGAGATGATGATGCAGCCAAAGAAGCTAGACTAGAGAAAATTTGAAGCAACAGCTATAGTAATTAGACGCCTTAATTTAAGAAGTCCAGTAAAAAAGGAAAGTCAAATATTGGACTATCACTTTTGACATAGTTGTATTTAAATAAACTGAAAACTAATTAAATTCTTATTTTAACTGCATGATAAATTACATTTAAATAAATAAAAAGAAGTTTAAATGCATTTTAACTGCATGATATGCCAGACAAGCATCAGATGTGCTTTATGCAAGAGACCTGGGATAGCACCAGAAACTATGGAAGCCTCTACCATCATTAATGTTCACTCCAACCCAAGCGGCAAGTTTCTGGAAGCAAGTTGAAAGAAAACAGTCAGTGTACAAAGCCTGGGAAACAAAGACACCCAACAGCATCCTAACAGCATTCTTAAACCAGCAGAAACTAGCTCATAGTCCAGTATTAGTAGTACCTCAAACAGGCAAACCTAGATCAGCCACAGTTTAAAACAAAAAGAGAGAACTAGTAAGAAAAGGTATTCTAAGCAATACCGTGACAACTCTTCTGCAATAATTACCACGTACGCCACCAAATAAAAGAACAGTATGTTAAATAACAAGTCCCTTTCACAACACAAACAGCTGCTGAACTATATTCAATGGGCTATTTAGCTTTAAACTGATCTAAAAAATATTAATCCACAGGAAATGTAGGCAAGTGTTGTGTTTTTAATTTTCTAAGCTGCACTGAGCAGCATTAGTATGAAGTATCCACAGATGGTAAGACCCCTCCTAATGTTTTTTTGAAATGAACAGAATTCCTGTAAATGGAGTGCATGTGCCTTATGTGCACCTCCTGTGAAAGGAAACAGGGCAGAATTGCACAAGAAGGATCACTTAGAAAAGTAAACTTTAAGAGTAGACAGGTGCATCTAAAAGTTAATTAAAGTGTTATGAACCCACTGTACAGTACACTATTAAATTAACATTATGCTCTTAGAAGTCAACATGTCCCTCTATTATTCTGTTTTCAGTTTGTGCTAATATATTTAACTCTTTGCATTCAGTGGCCAAGGCGAGTATCTGAAACACCTACCTGAAAATACTGCCAGATTTCAGTAGGGGTTTAAAATAATATAGCCTTGTAATAAAAGCAGCCTGGGAAGAACCTAAAATCCAGGGAGAATTACATTACTAGCTATTACAGTTCCATACTGAAGTAAGGAACGTGAAGCTTCCTGTGCGTAAGATGTGAAAGGCTGTCTCAGGAAAAGAGTCGCAACACACCAAGCTTAAAAAAAAAAAAAAAAAGGCAGTAAAATAATAGAAGCTGCTAAACTACTTTAGACACTCCTGTAACTGTAGTGTCTAAAATCAAGATGAGACACAAGATGCATCACACATTCCTAGCTGTACCTAAATTGAGACAGAGGACTCTTTGGTAAAAACCTTAACTCCTGCGTGGACAGCTTACAGTGTACTGAAATGGACATACTGGAGATTTAGCCCATTTTTGTAAACCAAGATTACTTTTGAATAGAACAACACACAATTTTAAAAAGAACCATAAAAGTAATGAGGAAAATTGCAAAATATTCACTAGGTTTTGTTAGAGGTCTACCTAGTGATAAGGGTGCTCAAATTAAAGGACAGCAGATCTAAGATTTTCCAAACTAATGGCCGTTGGTGGAAGTTTTAAGTTTATTGCATTGCATAGACTTAAGTAAGCTACTACTTGCTAGCTACTAGCATGCTTTTAGTCGATAATATAAAGAGCAACTCACGGCAACGGCGTTAAAAATAATTTAAAACAGCAAGAGGAGACCTCTCATTACCTTCTAACACCACACCTCAGCCAGTTGTTAATACACGGTAAAGAGATGCCAACGCTGAAGGAAATAGTTTAATGGCAAACGCTACTTTCTCAGCCTTTTAAGAGCATTCACACCACACGGCCTCAAGCTCCACAGAGCTCAGCCCTCAGCCACGCGGGCGTCGCACCTCACCAGCACAGTCACCTCACGCCTCTCCTGATCGGAGGGGGGGGGGGGGGGGATGATTTACGCCTTCCACCCCAAACGATACTGACGTTAGTAACAAGGCCAAAAACGAGCAGGAAGTAATTAGACCGGTGTTTTTCTTAATTGCTCTAAGAGGATAGGGGGAAAGTTGGAAAGCGCGTGAAGAGAGAGCAGCTTTCGCTGCAGTGAGGGCTTCACTACCAGAGGCGCGAGCTCCCAGAGGGCTCGACGCCGCCCCCCGGTTTCCGCGACCCCCCCGGCTGCTCCAG